CTGTCTCAAAAAAAAAAAAAATAGACTTCCTCTCAAGCTTGGTGTTTGGTTGGTGGGGACCCATGTGGGTTCAACATGCGTACTGAGAAGTGCTGTTTCTATTCAGGGTCCATCCACCCTGGCCACAGCATGATGTTCGTCTGCAACAATTGCAAAGTGTTCAGATTTTGTAAATCTAAATGTAATGAAAACTTTAAAACGAAGTACAATCTTGCAAAGTTAGGTGGGTCAAAGCATTCCGGAAAGCAGCTGGTAAAGAGCTTACAGTGGATAATTCGATTGAATTTGAAAAATGTAGAAATGAACCTATCAAATATCAGTGAGAGCTATGGAATAAAACTACTGATGCAGTGAAGAGAGTTGAAGAGATCAAACAGAAACGCCAAGCTAAATTTATAATGAACATATTGAAGAAAAATAAAGAGCGATAGAAAGTTCAGGATATCAGGGAAGTCATGAAAAACATCCATCTTATCTGAACCCCTCTTGCAGGCAAAGGGAAGTAGCTGGAAGAGAAAATTGTTACAAAAGGATGTGAACGTGGAAGATGCTTCTTAAAAATATCTGTAGCCATTTCTTTTATGTACATTTGAAAATGCCCTTTGGAGACTTGAAACTGCTAAATTATTAGTTTTTTACATACGTTCACTTAAATGAAAAGTGATTATACTTTCCTACATTGCCATCTACAAAACATCAGATATTACGGATGTTAGATTGCATCTCAGTGTTACCTCTTCAACGATAGATGTATTTATATAAATCATGGAAATTCTACTTATGGCCTGGTGCAGTGGCTCAATCCTGTAATCTCAGCACTTTTGGAAGCCAAGCAGAGTGGATCATTTGAGGACAGGAGTTCAAGACCAGCCTGGCCAACATGGTGAAACCCTGTCTCTACTAAAAATACAAAAAATTAGCCGGGTGTGGTGGTACATGCCTGTAATCCCGGCTATGCTGGAGGCTGAGGAAAATCGCTTGAACCTAGGATGTGGAGGTTGCAGTGAGCCAAGCTTGTGCCACTGCACTCCTGCCTGGATGACAGAGCAAAGACTCTGTCTCAAAAAAAAAAAAAAAAAAAGAAGAAAAAAATTATTCTTATAGCTATAGAACTGAATTGTGGACATAAAATGGTTATGCCACTTGGATAATAGCACTAGGCAGCATTTGTATAATAAAATGGCAAAAATTCATGGCTAGTGATGTGTAAAATAAAATATTATTCCCTTTATTAATGTTATAGAAGGGGGGATACAACAAGGAACTAACAATTTTTATTTTGATTTTGGTATTTCCTGTTTGCTTTATTTGTATCTTAGAAGAGTATAATGCCATTGTCTGGTGAAGCCTAATTATGCCTAGTTATGCTGGACTGTTCTGACCTGGTTTAAGCCTTCTGATAAGTAGTTGTGGATGCTGGGGATGAGAACTGAATACTCTTTGCCTGGAATGACACCACACTCTAGAATTTCCACTTTGGAGAATACTCAGTTCTAACTTGTGATTCCTGGTAGAACAAACTTTATTTTTCTAGCCAAGCTATGATCTAGAAACAGAGGAATCCCAGTGCCTTTTAAAAGTTATTATGTGGTTTTCTTTTAAAAAGCTCCTGTTTTTGGAAAGTAGAATTTATGGGTATAACATCTGTTCATTATTTGCACATAAAATAAAGTCATTTAAAAAGTTAAAAAAAAACAAAAAAAAACCCAGGACAATGAATGTTCCCACTAGCACACTGGAGAAGCAGTCCAGTCTCTGGATTCACAGTGTGGGTAGTGAAGTGGACTGCCTGGGTTCAAATCCTGGCTCTGTCACTTGCTGTCTGCGTGACTTTGGGCAAGTGACTTAACATATTCTCTTGGTCTTTGTTTTCCCATATGTAAAGTGGGAGCAATGGCAATACCTACTTCATGGACTGAATGAACTAATGCACATTATTCACTTGTGCAGGTCAGGGTGTACAGCTCTCAACTGCTACCTGTTATTAGCCCTAAGAACCAGATTTTAGGAGGTCATGAGTATATGTCATTTTTAAGATCATCTATTATGATCCCTTGGGCAGGTGGCAACTTGAAAATGCTTCTATGGTGATAATTCTACCACTTTGGGGTAATTAAATATGCATATGTTGGCTTCCTTCACTGGATTGTGAACACAGTGAATTTCAGTCATTTTTGTTAACAAAGTACATTTAAGGAAACATTTCTCAGAATCAGGAACCACACTGATTTACTTATTACTAGGACAGACATTTTAATTCTGGCTAAAATGCATATTTTGAACAGAAAATTTTTTCAATTAAAAGAATATTAAACGGGTAATTCTTAATCTACAATACTTTGGCCTAATAATACTACCACGAATCAACTTTTTAGATCATCTATGTCCTAAAGTATTTTTCATGGGGAGTTTTGATAGTACTGGGACTTTTGGCTGAAACACCAGCATGCTGAGAATAGAGAAAACAGCAACTTGGGGTTCAAACTGAAAATTAGCTGCAAGTTGAGATCTACATCATTTATAGTTGGTGAAACTTCTAATTCACAACAGAATAGTTCCAGATAGCAGATCAACCCTATGTTTCTGGTTTTGAAAGACTCTGGTGAATGTAGTGAATACAACCTTAGCTACTTTATCAAGAACTGAGACTTATTTAATCAAGATGGAAAATAAGGGTTTACGATAGTCCAAGAACTAATGAAGTTTCTATTTTCATGTAAACTACTTAAGCACCAAGGGCAGCAAACCAGAAAAATGCCCCCCAAAACAGAAGAATGGCTTCTAACTATGTGGTTTTTTCTAAGTTTCATTTTAAGCAACAGACAAGTATTTAACTAAATTATTCTCTACTTAGACTACTAAAATGGCTTTTCTATTGCTATCAGGATGTAATTTCAGATTCACTCAATTTCATGAAATTGACTGAGATTCAAATCATAGATCTGGTATATTTTAAATGATGCTGCATGCACTAGGCAATATTGATACCGATTATGACACTGGAGCAGCTGGACTCAGGTAATTTAGTTAACAGTATTAAATCAGAGATGTGAAATTAATTTATTAGCCATGTTCATGAATATTTCTAAAATTATTATGAGGCCTGATAAATGAAAACTTTCCCTTTTTTGTATTGTTCACTGGTGACACAAATCAGGCCAGATAAATACTTAGAATACAATATTTCCAGAGTTATAAAACCAGAAAGAACTCTAAAGTGTATCTAGTCTAATGTTTTCATTTTCTAAGTAAGAAAACAGAGTATCAGGAAAAGCAGAAGAATGTAATGGTTAAAATCCTGGGCTCTGGTCAGAAAGACCTGACCAGAGGGTCTGCCTCAGATTGGAAAGTTATTCTCTGTGTTACCTTGAACAAACTATTCAACGGTTGTAAGCCTCAATTTCTTCGTCTGTAAAATGGGGACAATAATTGTACTAGGGGACACTGTAATGACTCAGTAAATGTTAGCAACTATAATATTATTTTTATGAACAACAAGTGACTCCTAAGGCAAATAAGCAGCAACAGAACTAAAATTCAGAGTTTCTGACAGTTACAGAAGTTTTTTTTTTTTTTTTTTTAAATCTAAACACAGTACCTAAGTTAAAAATTCACGGGTACTGACAATTTAAATATTATATAGCTCTATGTCAAATAGAAAGATAACTATTTCAGTCTTTTTTGCTATTGAATTGATCAGAATATTAAATTAGTGATTACATACTTAAGTCTCAATTTCACCAAGATTCACACATATTTAGCTTTCCATAAACAATGGATATTTCATGTTTACCTGCATAGCTGCTTCAGTGTAATTATACGCTTTTAAAGTATTTCCCAGCAAAAGCTGCTCATATAAAATAAAGGACAAGGTATACCGGTCATAAATAAAAGTCAGGATTCCACTTACTAATGAGCTTAAATTTGACTTTAGTTAGATGCTATATTGAAAAAGCCCGATATTCTTGATTTGTACAGTTACTCGGATATCATTATATGTTCTATACACCTGCTATGGAGGAAGCAAGAACAAGGGACACACAAAAGACAAACAGTAACTCTACTTTACTTCAGCTACTAGAAATAGGATAGAGATGCTTTGGCTAAAATAGACTCTTGGAATCAAGCAGCCACTAATCACAGACATTTGGAATTGCCCTTTTTTTTTCTGAGACAGAGTTTCACTCTTGTCACCCAGGCTGGAGTGCGACGGCACAATCTTAGCTCACTGCAAGCTCTGCCTCCGGGTTCAAGCAATTCTCCTGCCTCAGGCTCTCGAGTAGTTGAGATTACAGGTGCACGTCACCACACACAGCTAATTTTTGTATTTTTAGTAGAGAAGGGGTTTTGCCATGTTGGCCATGCTGGTCTCAAATTCCTGACTTCAGGTGATCCACCCGCCTTGGCTTCCCAAAGTGTTGGGATTATAGGCATGAGCCACTGCTCCCGACCTGGAATTGCCATTTTGGTCAACATTTGCACTTAAATAGTTCATTGTACTCAAAGTTGAATATTTTTCTTAAAATTAAAAAAAAATGAATAAGAAATTGCATAAAGAATATTAGCTTTATAAAATATGCTCCTAATACTTCTGCTTTTGATCATTTTAGTTAATTGGTGATCTTTTCAGTAAATATTCTCAGACTATCGAGTGCTTAAAACCTTTTCTTATAATAAATTAAAGATCATTTTTCTCCTAATCTCGAGAATAATACAATTAATTTTAAATCTTTAAAAATAATTAAGAACAAATGTAACACAGTACAAATACAGCAAATAGACATTAATTATAGTGAGAAATACGGCAAATAGACGTTAACTATAGTGAGATAAGTTCAAGTATAAACATGCGGAAAGCCTGAGCACCTTTTTATGTAATACCAATGTGATTCAGCAGACCAGAAGATGAAGAAAATAGTAATTTGAAAGGTGGCAATTTGTATCCATACCCAGTATTTAGTATTTCAGCTACTAGAAATAAAGAAGTTTGGCAGACTTACCCGCATTTTTGCACAAGCATCTTGGGTTGACTCTGTCCCCCTAAGCTCTTTTATCAGCATAGAACCTAAATACTAAAATACAAAAAAATCAATGATTTATGAAATAGAATATAAATATGAGTAACATTTTAACAACAAATTGTGGAAGTATTACTGGCTAGGTTTCCTGGCTGTAAGTTGTTGCATAACTTTAAAAAACTGATAGTAACTAATCCTAACAAATAAATGCATTCATAGAGAAAATGCAGCAGAATTAACCATAAGTTCAGGGGGCTGTCATTGCTCTTTATAATGAAACTGCAGCATCTTCTAAAGATGACATCTTTCAAATCATATTTAACTGCAAAATGGGGCATCTAAAAATGTTTTCCCCTTTTTTTTTTTGAGGCAGCAATGTCTGCAAAAATAAATCACACTACTATCTCTGTAATTACAGGGTTGCATGAGACAGCTGAGAAACTAAGCAACATGTCCCCCATTTGGGCTTATTCTGCTGCATAGGTAATTAATGTTAGGCTCTTAGGCGGAGATGCAGTTTTGGACCTTTTTCATTCAACAGCTGTGTGCCCTATGGTTGATCCACCTGAGAACGAGATTTGAGGGTGGGGGAAGGGAGAATGGCTTTCTCAGTTGTTTCACAGGGGAAAAGAGTTGGGTTTCTGGGGCAAAGTGCTACCTGGAAGGCTGAATGGAGGTAGAAGGATGACAAAGTCTTCTCCCAAGAATTGTCAACCACTTTGCTGTTAGAAGATCACATCCAATACTACATCGTCCTGGTACAAAATGCCCCTCGTTCTCCAGCTTCTGGCTGGGGGCAAATGGTTTTAAACAAAATGTCTGATTTGCCCATCAACTGACTCCTCTTCAACCTTTTGAAGCTTTAGTAGGGTCTTTTCCTTTTGTCATTTCCCTCGCTCCGTGCCCTTCTTCCCCCAACCCCCAAAGAGCACTATATATGTTGTTTAAAAAAGTGAATCACAATAATTATTTTAGAAGATATTTGACGGACACTCCCTGACAAGACTGGAGATACCCTAGTGCTGTGCAGAGACGGGGATAGGAACCTGTCTTGTGGACCAGGGAAGTCCCTGATTTGAAGAGGATGTGAGAGGACGCAATAGCAGAAGGTGTGGTCAGGACCTTGGAGAAAGGCATGTTCAGAAAGTCTCAGGGACTTGGGGTTTGAGTTTTGGAGGAAGGAGCCATTTCAATCCTACAGGTTTGGGCAATACCATTGAAATAAATCCAAAGCTGCAATATAAGCAAGCAGTAAAAGAGGGGCAGAAAGCAGAAAATGGAAAAAAAAAAAAAAAAAAAGCCCAACAGCTATAAGATAACCACAATATCCATCTTAATCAAATGAAGGTGAAATTCATTATCTTTTGGCAAAATCCTTATCTTTTAAGCTATCGGAGAAGTTTGTCCTATTGAAATGTTTCTTTTAGGAGAGCCAGTTTCAATGCACTGCTGAAGGTTCAGCCGCTTTTTCTGTTGTTGTCATGACAACCACCACCTGACCCAAAACCTACAGTATCTTTTGAACATTTACCTGTTCCTATTACATTTCTCAGCTAAGTACAATTAGTTCCCCTCTTCTGAAAAAAACAACAACAACTATAAAAGCAAAATGATATAATCCTATTGACGACAGTGAAAAGAATCTGGTATTTACAAAAAGTGGTAGACCCAATGTTTTGAGACCCAATGTTTGGTGAGTGAGCAGAGATGTATATATGTGCCATATCTGTACTCATTTCAAGATTGTGCTTTATCACATTTCTTTAAAAACATACAACTACATAAGAAGTCACAATAGGCCTTAAATTTACAAGATTAAAAAGGTTTTAAAGCTCTAGTTATTTGGACTTTCTCTTTGGATAGAAGGCTACTTTAAGAAAAAAGTGAAGAGAAAAACACTTGAAAAATTTCAGTCATGGATATGGATATTTTGGTATATTTTCAACATAAATGCAAACAAACCAAAACATACCCCCATCTCCACTTGGGCCCAAATATTGAATTGAGGGTAACTTACAAAAGCTTTGTAATCACATGACTGGAAGATAAGCTTTTCTGGGTGATGCTGCCAGTACTGTACCGGAGTGGAGGCTGTGGCTTCATTTGGAGGTCGCAAGGTAATGGAAGGTTCTCCCCAGTCTCCTGTCTGAAAATGACATTTATTCTAGAGGCAGTATGAGCAGTCAGCAAAGTTCATTCCCTATAGCTACCCTGAGCTTACCTTACACACATGTGCTGTGAATGTGCCAATGCATTTGGGTGTCTTATGTGAATATAAATACTTTGACTGGTTATTACATTTTTATGTGTATTAGCATATTTCTCAAGGCTGAGTTAATTTTCGAGGTGTGGAGTTGAATTATTCTATTTTTAGCGTGACACCCTAAGCTAAGTCACTTTAAAATAAAACATGAAGATATTCATAAATGATTTACTAATTCACAATTTTCCATCCCACAGCAAAGGACATACAATCTTTGAAAGAATTTTCTATCTGTTTTTAAACTTGACTGAAATTTTTAGTTTCAATTGCTTTCACATTCAGAACACACAGTTCTATAAATTTCAGTTCCCAAATATGACATGTACTAGCCACTTTGAATAATTTTAGATCTCTGGAGAAATGGTAGTGTAAGCATGATGCTAAACAAAATTTTTAAAGAAAAATTTACTAATAGGTGACAACTAGTTTCTCTCATCTGAATTCAGTTCCACTGATTTAATGACATTGTGATTGTCTCAGATGTATTCAGCTACTTTCCTCAGAAAACGTAATGTACCAATGAAGACTAAACAGGGAAATGCCAAGTTTGGTCACATGTATATATACTGTACTTTGAGGATTCTGATTCACAAATTCAAGCACATTCTCAAATAATGGTGTATCATATAATACAGACCTAAAACAGGAGGACCGCCCATCATTTCATTTATCATTTTCCATGACGTTAACCTCAAACTGTTTCATCACTGTAATAGCTTAGTTTGAGCATCTATAAAGTCAAAGGTCAGTGTTGGCAGGTATTTTCTGGGCTCTACTCTGATTTATATACTACACATGAGATGTTTCTTACTCTTTCTCCTGGGAAAGATTTGGATTCTTCAAAACTCAGTTCTTAATTCTCAAATGGACGTTACTAAACAATAGGCAAATTTCTAGAGTTACTCTCTTCTAACTAGATTTGGCTATATATAGAACTATAAGAAATTACTTTTCTCAGGACATGGAAGAGTGTAAAAAGGTCTCATAAACTCCAAAACCAAATAAAACCTTGGTTAGAGACCAAGATCCATAGACGTGCTAGCAAGTGTGCTGACACACTGTGGGATTTCTTAAGGAGAATTTTTAAGGAGTCTAGGACAAGAATGCAAAAATTTGGATGCAGGTGTATGTTCTGGGAGAGAAAGGAAGTTCACTGCTTTCATTAAATTCTTTGAAATAGTCTAGAAACTCCAAAAGATTAAGAACCACAGTTCTCTAGGAATGGCGTAAATAGGGGACATATTCTGGGGAGGAGAACTAGCTCTCCAATTTTCTTTGTGCAGTTTGGACTTACATTAGGTGGCATATGAGGTAGCTGCCAATGATAAAAAGTCCTTTCTAGAGGACTTCAGTAACGCACAGCCTTTAAAAAAAAAAAAAAAAAAAGCAGTGGAGTGCTTGGCTTTTCTCGAGATGGGTCACTTCGAATTGCAGGAATAGCAAAAGAGCAAAGTTAGCATCACGCTATTTCCTTGGCTTCTCACTGTAGTTAGTGTTGACCAGTTGGAACTCCTTCAGCTCCTCGCTCCTGCTCTGTTCTCAGTCACTCTCCACGTTAGTTTTGTTTTGTTTGCTGATTTACTTTTACATTGCCTGATCTTCCTATTCCATCAGTATTTTTGATTTTTGTACACATTTATGGGGTATATGTGAAATTTTGTTATATGTATATTGTCTGTTGGTATTAAGACTTTGCTTGCAATATTAATTTTAGCATTTTTGTCTGTTTTATTATCCATCCCTGACTCATTAAGTTTTTCTTTTATATTTATATGAATTTTTAGTATGTAAAAGTGATAACTGACTGCAATTCTAAAATTAGATTGAGTTTTCCTTTGGCTTCTTATTAGGAATTTTTCTTTTCCTTCTTTCTCAAATGGCTGGCTCTTTATTCTCTCTCTGGTCTTTATTTCAACTGGCTGTAACTTACTTTCAAAAAACATATAAAATTCAAAATATAGGATATGTGGATTTCAATATCATTTTGAAGCTGAGTGTAATAGCCTTTAAGTGATAATAGCTTAAAACTCTGGAAACATGCAGCTATGGGTTCTTAAACAAAAGCTTTACCCAAATCTAGCAAATCATCCTCTAATCTTCCCCATTAAACGTCTCCCTCCTTCTCCCGCTCCCTCGATAAAGCAACAACAACATGGCAAACAGGTATTGTACATTTAAGTCACAGGTAACACTGTTAACAAAACAACAGAAGTTTGCATGCAACTCCGTGGAATGATACAAAAGGAGGAGCTGGTTGGCTTCCAAAGATCCTTTGATCCAGTGTCTGCTGATGTGACAACTCAAACCAAGCATCAGATCTTCATGTGAGCCCTATTACAGTTAGCAGAGGTAGACCTTGGCCAAGCTCAACAGGCAGTTTTCAAAAAAGTCTGAACATGGCATGAGCTGGGGGTGCCATAAGTTGCAGGGCCAGGGCTGGGAATAGGGTTAGGGGTGGGAATGAGTTGCAGGAAGCTAGGGTTATGGAAACATTTCACATGTTAGTACATTAAGCATGCAGGTCATATGCAAACTCATTCTCTAATTGTTCAATTAACTCACACACTTTTATAATTAAACTTTAATGTGAGTTCCATACATTTAAAGCCAGAGCTTCAGCCAAATGCTGATCCAAATATTTACACCATCCACATAAGTTGTAGCAGCCATTGTGGGAATAACAAGCCCCAGCACATACATTCCACTCTCAATCTGGAAGTCAGTCACTGAAATCCCTTATTTGATAACCACTTGAAGAAATTAGTGGAACATTCACTTAACTCTGTTTAGAAAGCGCCATCATCTGCTCTCCTATGACTCCACTTTGTCCAAAAATCACAACTACTTGCTTTGAATTCAGCATGATCTGATAGAACCTTCCCTAGGTGCTAAGGTGGAGATAATTATAAGCAAAAGAAATAGAATCCTTATTTCATTTTCTTTGTGGTCTTCAAACATTGTTTCAGTCCAAATATTGTTAAATTCCCTATGGGGACTGAATCTATCTTTCTGGAAAGAGACACTGAATTTTATCATATTTAGTGCTATTTCCAGAAATTCATTTTGAAATAAAGGGAAAAGTGTTCTTAAGATTGAATTTATAAGAAAATAAATTTCTTTTCTGCCTGGAAATTCATCAACTTCTCTCCCCGCCCCTGCCTATTTTTCCTTTTTAACCTTAGATCTAATAATATTCAGAGGACTCAATTTATAGATGTTAATTCTTCTTTTTGGAATTAATTTAATGGGAATGGATGGATTCCAACAACTGAACTTAACATTACACTATTGTAAAGGACAGGTATGACCTTGGCCCTTGGCTGGGATTCAGCTTTACCTGGTTGACTGCCAGTAAGAACAAAAGAGTTCAGAGAACAGGGTGGTTAGGTCTTAACCCTCCTGGAGTCTGACTTACAGCAGGAATGAGCTCTGGGGGAATTAGGTAGAGTAGTTGCTATATGGAATGGAAGAAGAGCTCAAAAAAGAAATAAAGATTTTTGCCTCACACATAAAATAATTTTGAACTTTGAAGCCTAGTGTTAGGTCTTGTTGACTAGTACATTCATGTCTAGATAATACTTGTATCTCCTCAGGCAATTATCTTTAAATTTAGTAATTTTCCACTTAAAAATGCTTATTAAATATTAACAGACCTAAGAAGTCTTTTCTCTCAATAATGGTTTACAATCGAATCTCATCTTTAATGAAAAGTAGATCTAAACACAGCTAACAAGACAATGTTTAATTAGAATAACGAAATGAAGTAGGAAAAGTTTGGGGTAGAATTCTGTCATATTTTAAACTATTACTGACACAGTGGTCTTTAGAAGGATTCCATAAGTGATTATAAATGAGAAATTAAAATGATTCGAGGTACTCCTATCCTAATGTCTTCAGACTATCTCTCTGGCAGTTAAAATACAGAAAATCTTTCCTTTAGGTCCATGTATTTGAATGGCCTTAATATTCCAAGAATTTTGTCATGGCTTAAAACTTCATTTAATTGGTATTTATTATTATTATTTATATGTATGCCTTAAGAGTTTTTCTTTTCTTTTTTTATAGGCACACTAAAGAACATCAATTAAACAGAGGAAAATGTACATGATTAGCTCTCTTCTTCAGACTCAAATAAAAACTAAACCTCTAACATAAAGGAAAAACAATTTGAGATTAGAATTTTAAATGGAGAATTGATTCTGTTTAGCATGTGTTTGCAACTGCCAACTATAAATTCATAGTCTGGCTGAGTCTGAAGGACTATAATTGGGCCATATCTAATATAATGTAATTAAAGCAAACATTCTCTTATACCATCAGCTGAAAAATATAAAAGCATCAATGGAATTTAGTTAAAAAACAAAAAACTTCACGGAAGTCTATAGAGAGATTTTTACCAGGTGGCAGATTCCAAATTGCAGCTTTTAAAGTTTGCATTACTTCGACAGGTGGTAAATAGCTGCAGATTTTTAGTTCACATGCACTGGACTCCTACGGCAAATTCTAAAGTCGTATCAGGTAGCTATCTTCCTCCAAAAGGGAAACTGAATATTACATATTCTATATGCTCTGAGAATACAAAGGGAAAACCCTTCTGTTCTGTTCTTTTTTCAAGACAGAGTCTCCCTCTGTCACCCAGGCTGGAGTACAATGGCAAGATTTTGGCTCACTGCAACCTTCGCTTCCTAGGTTCCACCGATTCTCCTGCCTCAGTCTCCCAAGTGGCTGGGATTACAGCCATGTGCCACCACACCTGGCTAACTTTTGTATATTTAATAGAAACAGGGTTTCCCTATGTTGGCCAGGCTGGTCTCGAACTCCTGGCCTCAAGTGATCCGCCTGCCTTGGCCTCCCAAAGTGCTGGGATTACAGGCATAAGCCATTGCACCCAGCCTTTATGTTATTTTCTTCTTGATTAAAAAGTTTCCTAAGGATGTCAGTAGATTATTGAAAGCCATGCTTACAACTTAGTTTTCTAACATTAATAGAAAAGCATGACATTTTCCAAGCCTTGTATTATTCTTTCAAATTTTTAAAAATTAGGATTTAATTGATTTTTAAAAATAGAACCTTTAAAATCTTTTCTATGACGACTGCTCCCACCTACCTGCTTGTAAATTTAGATCTGAATATTAACAAACATTATTCTCAATTTCTTCAGAACACTTAATGAAAACTAAAATGATTTCAAAGGACAATTATTGTTGTAAGGTTTTGCTTTCAATAATTCTGACAAATTTCAGAGATGGGCTACCCAAAGATACATAAGATATATGTGATTACATTTACTTTCTGTAATCTCTAAGGCTTTGAAGAATGCTATACACAGCTTTATGCTTATAAATATGCATACATATATTTGAATGTGAATGTAAGGAAAAGGCTTCCTATAAACATTCACACACATATGAAAACAGGATGTTGTAGTTATTCTTTCAAAAAATCTCCAAGAATGAAGAATGCTAGTTTGATCAAATGCAGTTGGTTATACTGAATTTGTTCTTTTAGATGAAAAAGAGCAGAGATGGCTACTTCTGAATGCATAAAAGCTCTGGTTAGCATTTATGAGTTCAGGAGGAACTGCTGGGTCACGCGAACACCAGTACCAGGTAATGTATAGACACCACGGTCCTTACGAGCCAGAAGTCCCATGCATAGGAGGACATATGTGCCTGATGCAGCATCCCAAAAGGCACCTCACAAAAATGCCTGTGGCCTCCCTTCACATGCCGCCCCAAGAATTCTGCTCAGTGATTCTCAACCAAATGTCTCAACCTCTCAGACAGCAGGCTATCCAATGGGAGAAATTCAACAAGATGTGAAAATAGAATAGTATTTTAAAATACAGAACATAAAAACCCAAACATTTGAATGTTTATTTTCCAAATAGAAATAAACTTTTTCTAAAGTATGCAAAGGTGAAATATGAACATTTGAAAATTATGCAGCAGCTCAGAATAAAATGGATCACAATTTCACACAATTTGCAAAGATCAATTCAGTACTGTCAAATGGAAAAAGGCTGAGAACCACTTCGTAGCTGTAACCGTGCCTCTCCCAGCTCACCTCCCCCCCACATTTGCATAAAATGTATACAGAATAACATGCAAATCATACTCAGAAATTTCTCACAAGTAAAACACATGAATCTTTGAGAATCATTAGAGACAAGGGGTTGAATAGTCCATGAACATGGGGAAGTACAAAATAGGGAAGAATAACACTGATATATACATGTGTGTATATATATATATCAATTTACCCTTTTCTGTTTCCTGTAAAAGCAAGTTAACACAGACGCCTGGAATGAAAGCCAAAACTCACATGGGACATATTTTAACCATAGACTTTAAAACCAAATATGTTTCTTGTTTTAGGACAATGTTTGCACATCAACTAATCACAAGGCACAGTAAATGAAGTATAATAGACAAAGAATCTTGGAGTCACCAGACATTATGAATTTTCTGCACTGCCAGGACACAGTACCTATAGCTGTTGACAACACTGTGCAACACAGTACATAGCGCAAGTTCAGGAGGAGAAAAGAACCATTTGTAACCTTACATTATGAACCTGATGGATCGCTGAGAAAGGAAATCCTGCGTTCTGATTCGTCCATATTTCACAGACAGACGACTGCTGATATAAACAGAAAACTATCTTATCTTGTCAATATTTAAAACATGGCAGCTACCAAGGTAGCATCCAGGAGGGAAAAGAGGAAAATAATAAAATGCAAAGAATCATATTAAAAAAAACCCTCAAAAAATGTTTCAGGGTGCTCAAGGTTTAATAATGGACTTCCAAGTCATTCTTTTTGCTTTAAAACATTTTGAATTGGCTGAAAAAATCATTTATGCATTTATGCAAGGGCAATTACCAACAAATTCACACCTTGGAAAAAAGCAAACTGTATTTTATATCTGCCAGAAAACCAGAAATACCTTCCCCCCGTCACTACTTTCAGAGGATAAATATTTTCATCAAGTTCAAGAAAAACAGGAAAAAACCTTTAACACAGGTCCAACATTTTTATTTTCTTATCTTCAATGACCAAGAGCAAACAGTACAATAAAATGACTTTTCCTGATTTAGTCACTGCTCTGTTTGATAAACCTAGAAGATATTTATGCCTCCAGAGTTCTCACGGGCAAAACTTTGTACTTAACAAAGGAAGATGTGTCTGCTTGCTACCCAGCACTGAGAGGAGTGAAGGAGGTGGCAGGAAGGAGGCTGGGGCAGGGAAGGACTGAGGTCAGGGAAATTCAGTTCTGTTCCTCAAGCAGAAACCCTTGGGAACAGCATTTGTAAGTCTAATGATTCAGCTCCACAATTCTGCCTCTCCCCCACACCGTTAATAAGATAAAGCAGTAATGTCTGCTCAGAACCAAACAGCAAACTAACCAGCATCCCCTCCCAGAATTTACGGCAGAAACCTTCAAACAGACTGACGGAGCTCTTAGCCTGACCCATCCCAAGTTCTGTTCCTGAATTTCATCATTCTAAAAGACACTGTGAAATTAAATCATAGAAAATGGCAGAGTGTGTAAACTTATTCAGCAAGCCCCGTCAGCATCTTTAGCATTCACAAGCAGTCTGTACAAAGATCACTGCAGGGAGAAGGCACGCACGTAACCACAGTATGGTTAAGATACCCAGCAAAAAACTATCTCATCAACAAACAAATGATGGAAAAGAAAGCTTGTCCCTAGCTAAACGTCTCCTTACCCCAGAAATGCTCATTAGCAATTTAACATCTCTCTCTAGTTACAACAGCACCTCCATACACCCCTACATCTTTGCTTTCTATCTCTTCTGCTAACTAGAAGCTAGATGGGCACAGACTGTCAGGAAGATGGCCTTCTGTTAAGGAAGGTAGATCCCCAGGGTCTGACCAAAGGCACTTCCAAACACCTTTTACTTAAATCAGCTCTGCTATCCTCAGTTCCCTCTCTAACTTTTATGCTATTTTATACATCCAGAGGGGGTTCTTCCTCTTTTCACCTTTCTAGCAAGTTCAGTTTTGGACCCATCCCCTCTGTTGGCTTGTGTCCAGTAGCTGTCATCTGATGTGAATGTACTAAACTCCAAGCCTTAGCTGGATTACCATCTTAACTGGCACTCTCACCCAGTCCTGCGTTAATTCTTTACACAAATCACATCTTCTACAATGTTCACACACTTCTAGTGTTAATCTAGTGCTAGAAGTGCTTCTAGTGCAAAAACATCCAGAAACCACCTGTCATCTGATAAAGACACAGATATTTAGAGAGGTGAAATGGCTTGCTCAGGTCACAGAGGTGAGTGGTGCAATGTGTCAGCCTGCTGGAATGGCTAAGAAGGAGTGTGAGCCCGGTACTGATGTCACCAGAAGGCAGAGGGTTGTTCCAGCTACATAGAGCTTGGTTCTACTGACCCCGAAATGAACTGAAAACTAAAAATAAAATCCTAAATCCCGTCACTGACTCAATGGACCCCCTTGTGGCCAAGGGGACCCCAGGAAAAAATCTTAAAATTGGGTTTCTGACCGTGATGGGATAGGGGGTCAGACAAGCCTCATCATACCCCCTCTCTTTTATGGTTTAGACACAACAACTGATCAGATTTAATGTTAAAATGGAAATCATAAGGCTGACAGTCTCTTTGCGGCAATAAGATACCAAATTATCAATAGGCCCTGAGGCCATGCCAGTCAAAGGTTAAGTCACAAACCCCTACACCTAAAGAATAAACTACGTTCCAACTGCCACAAGGTTTTTCTTTTTCTCTAGCAGCTAAACAGGCAATGGCCTTAAGAGAAGCAATATTAAAACAATTTGCAGCTCCATCAGATGCTGACAGACTCTCAGCCCCTGCTCTACCAGCCATAACTACAGCTGGACAAGAGACTGATCAGTAGCTTTATCCAAATAAGATCACTGACCATGGACTGGTTCTAGTTGGTCTACAGAGATTACACACTTCCGTGCCTTCATGCCCTGAAAGGCCCTTCTGATGTATGGGACCTAACCGTAATACATCTAAATATTAAGTCTCCAACCCAAAGTGAACATAGGTCACATGCTACATGCATGTTTGTTCAATACACATGTGTCAGGACCACCTGCATGAATATTCACAGCTCTTATAACACATTGAATATGCATGTTTAGCTAACCGGTTCAGCATAAATCTCCCCAAAGCCCTTGTCCTTCAAAGTGTCTATCTCTGGGGTCTTGGCTGGAGGTGCTTCCCAGCCTGCAGGATGGCTACCTTGCAGGCTGTAACCCTCTAGAAGAAATAAAGTCTCCTTCCCGCCTTTACTAAATTCATATATATATATGTATGTATGTTAACACAAGTATATCTAAATGCAAATGCAGTCAGTTCATGGAACAGTCTTAACTGTACTGGGGTCCAAACACCAAACACTTAAAAGTTGTTTTAGGTTGTTTTGTTTACTCCCAAAGGGGCCATGCCCAGTCTGCCTGCCTGATGGGCACCAGGCCATTTAAAATTTTGCACAGACGACATAATTTCCTGGTCACTTTGAATCATGAAGACTCCATTTTGTATGAAATCCAAACTCATATCTGATTCAAACTTTTCCCTTCCTCATCGTGTCCCAGTATTGGGGCTTAAAAAGCCTGGGGTGAGTAAGAGAGGCTCAGTCTGCACTTTGACTTCTCCTAGGAGAGGGGAAGGTAGATGTCAGGGTCTATCTCAGATGTTCCCTGCCCCAAGCTCTACCTACTTCATGTGTTTAGTTGGAGAGGAAGAAACAGGAAAAGGACGAGGCCACTTTCTTGTCTGGCTGTTCCTCCGACAGCCAGCACTGCTTTTCAGCTAATGTTAACATGGCCTCCCACGTGCTCTGCACAGCAGCTGTTCCAACTTAGCTTCTCCTGTGTCCCTGTGTGAGTTCTCTGAAGGGCTCTTCTAGGGCAGAGGGCAGGTCCCCCCACTGCACAGTTCCTGGTGGCAGAAATCTGGCTCTAGCTTGACTTCTTCCAATTCCCACTTAGCCCTCCTAGGACACATGCACTCCCCTGAGGGGGAACCAGGGGGAAGGGTATAACCCCAGCCTCCTCCTGCTCATCCATGTGGCCCACAGGACATGGACACATCCTTGTCACACAGAACAGTGGAAGGGCTGGCTGCTCTATGAACACTCCCCGTCTCTGCCAGGGCATCTCTCCCCAAGACTCTCTGTGTCAGCTCAGGAGGTGCTATGTGACCTGGCTGCCAGAAGTCCACTTATGGATAGCAGGGCCAGTCTTCCCTCCTGGCAGGCATCCCCAAGCCAGACGTATATTTCTCTCGTACCCCTTCTCATTAGGATTGGAGAGCATGGGAATGCACTCTGTCTCCTCTCTCATGGGAAGGGAGGAAAAGCCTTAGTTCTTTCCACAAGACCCACACAATTATCTGTCCTTCCCCAGAACTAGCCGATATTCTGCTTATGTGGAGAGGTGGCTGACAGGGGCAGAGCAGGATCCACTGCCTCCTTGTAAGCCCTGAACTAGGTGTCTGGCTCCACGACTGACAGCTTTCTCTTTAGAGCATGCAAGTGCTTTGCACCTAGAGGAAAATTCCCACTTAGCATCCTGGGAATAAACATTCCAATAGTAAATAGATCTTCCACTAGTCACAGAAAGTTACCAGACTTAAGAAGGGAGGAGAGAACCCCACACCATACTTATTTCATTAAAAAACATCATATAAAAGTTTTCTCAATGAAGAATAAAGAACCCACCCCTAGTCATAGACACTGAGAGTTCACATATGGGTTATGTGCGTTTTTAGATGTTATAATAAATATTTTATATTTGTAAGCTATGTCTTAATTTAGAGAAAGTAAAACCTCCATAATTTCTAATACCGTCATGCACAACATAACGAGGTTTCAGTCAATCACAAACTGCATATGCTACAGGGGTCTCATAAGATTACAATACCATAGTTTCACTATACCTTTTGTGGGGGATGGAAGAAGTCAAGCTAGAGCCAGATTTAGGTATATTCAGATACACAAATACTCACTATTATGTTACAATCACATACAGTATTCAGTACAGTGACATGTTGCACAGGTTAGTGGCAGCAATAGGCTAGATCATACAGCCTAGCTGTGTAGCAGGTAACACCAACTCACTTTGGGTAAATACACACGATAATGTTCGCATGACAAAATCACCTAATGATGCATTTCTCAGAAAATGTCCCCACCATTAGGTTATGCATGACTGTCATTGTGCCAGTGCAAATGGTAAAAAGTCAGGATTTAAAAAGAGTTTAAAATAAAAGCAGTTAATTGTGTTTGAGTTGTAAAAATTATTTTTTTGATATAGAGTCTTTGCTCTGCTGCTCAGGCTGGAGTGCAGTGGTGCAATCTTGGTTCACTGCAACCTCTGCTTTCTGGGTTCCAGTGATTCTTGTGCCTCAGCCACTCGAGTACCTGGGACTACAGGCGTGTTCCACCATACCAAGCTAATTTCTGTATTTTTAGTAGATATGGGGTTTCACCATGTTGCCCAGGCTGGTCTCAAACTCCTGGCCTCAAGTAATCCACCCACCTTAGATTCCCAAAGTGCTGGGATGAAAATTATTTTTTAAAAAAAGCTGATGCATTCCAGATATCACAGTAGTTTTGTTGGCAG